AAGGAAGGACTGCCCAATTTGGCATATCCTGGGAGACTGCAGGATGAAATTGCCTTCCTGGAAACAGGGGATCAGAGCGGGTAGAGACCATCTGGAAGCCAGCACCAAGGCAGCCTGCCTCGACACACCATAGAGAGTGCCACAAAAAGATGGGGAAGTCAATCCAGAAACACTGCCAACTAGGGGCTGAATTGCAAACTGACTTTTTATTTTTATTTTTATTATTGTTTTACTTAATCAAAAATAAACAGACACAAATAACAATGTAATAGCCTACTTAAAATTAAGGACTAGCTTACAAAACTGAGGTGCAGTGGAACGCAGGGAACAGCAGTACTGTCTGGACCGAGTAACAGGCATGCCAAATAGAATAAGAGAAAGTGAATGACCACTACTGCACATTTTTATGCTAATTTTTCTATTTTTTTATTTTATTCTCATTTTTTACATCTTTTATTTAAGAAACAATTTTTTTCTTTTTTTCTCACTTGATTTTACCTTTTCAATTATTACATTTTTAGTTTCAATTATCATTATTAGTACTGCTATTTTGCATTTTTTGTTTCATTTTTCTTTTCTCGTTTTTAAGTACCATTTTATTTTCTCTTTATTTTACATTGGGATTAGTCTTCTTCATTCTATTTTCATATCTACTATAGCATCATTCAACCCTATCTCAACTCGACCTTTACGCCATCACTCTCTTACTAACCTTTCCCCTTTTCATCTCCTGTTTATCTTAACTCTTTCCTGCTTTAGTTTTTCTCTATTCTTTCTGTATACCCCCTGCTAAAATTCTCACCCTACTTATATACCTAATTTCCAACCCGCTGCTCCAAGTGCATAAATACCACTCTCTTCACTATATTAACTATTAAAAAACAAAACAAAACTGTTCTCCTCTCTGTCCTTTTGTTGTTGTTGGCGTGAATGTTGATTATATTGAATTTTTATGCTTTTTAGTGAGATTGATATGCTTATTCTTTTGTTGTTCTTGTTGCTTACTATTTTTTTAATTACTTTGTTTTTGTTTGTTTTTTTCCTTCTGTTTATCCTAGCCTTGCTTAATATTAGTGGGTATTGTAGTTTGTATTAATCTTCAAGTATTGTTGCTGGCATTTGCTGGGATTAGTGGTTGTTCTATTGGAATTTTCTCCACATATAGATATAGTTTGTTCCCCTTTTCTCTCTTAGTTTGATTCTTCTCTCTCTCTCTCTCTCTCTCTCTCTCTCTCTCTCTCTCTCTCTTTCTCTCTTTTCCTGTTTCCCAATTTCATTTTGCCACATTTTTTCTTTTTTCTTTTTTCTATCTCTTTATTTATCCCTCTTCTTCTTCTTCTTCTTTTGTTTTTAACTTTTCTTCTTTCTCTCCTATCCCTTAATTTGCTTTTCTCTAGTGGTTACCTTTATTAGAGGTTATTAATATCGCAAATACATTCCTGTTCAGTGCCTTTTGTGATGTAGCTGGTAGTGGTATATTTTATGCCTTTAAGTCAAGGCAGGAGAAAGAGAACTATACATAACCAGGCATCCTGAAAAAAGCTTCCAGCAAACAAAAGCCCAGGGCCAGATGGCTTCACAGGAGAGTTTTACCAAACATTCAAGGAAGAACTAAAACCTATCCTCCTCAGACTATTCCAAAAAATTAAAGAAGAAGGAACACTTCCAAACTCCCTCTATGAAGCCAGCATCGCCCTAATACCAAAACCAGATAAAGACAACACAGTGAAAGAGAATTACAGGCCAATATCCCTCATGAACATAGATGCCAAAATCCTCAACAAAATTCTAGCAAATTGGCTCCAGCAGTAAATTAGAAAGATCACAAACCATGACCAAGTAGGATTTATTCCGGCAATCCAAGGATGGTACAATATCCATAAATCAGAAAACGTGAAACATCACATAAACAAATTGAGAGATAAAAATCATATAGTCATATCAATTGACATAGAAAAAGCATTTGATAAAATCCAACACACTTTCCTGATAAAAACTCTCAACAAGGTGGGAGTACAAGGATCATACCTAAACATAATAAAAGCTATATATGATAAACCCACAGCAAACATCATACTCAATGGGCAAAAACTAAAACCATTCTCTCTAAGAACAGGAACAAGACAGGGATGCCCACTCTCACCACTCTTGTTTGACATAGTACTGGAAGTACTAGCCATTGTAGTTAGACAAGAAGAAGAAATAAAAGGCATCCAAACTGGAAAAGAAGAAGTAAAGTTATCCTTATTTGCAAATGAAATGATATTATATATAAAAAACCCAAAAGACTCCATCAAAAAACTACTTGACCTAATAAATGAATTTGGCAATGTAGCAGGATACAAAATTAATGCCAATAAATCTATGGCATTTCTATACACCAACAGTGAACTTACAGAAACAGAGACTAAAAAAGCAATTCCATTGACCATCGTGCCAAAAAAACTAAGATACCTAGGAATAAAGTTAATGAAGGAGATAAAAGAAAACTACATGACACTAAAAAAAAGAGATAGAGGAAGATGTAAACTAGGGGTGTCGAACTCAATCAGAGAAGGGGCCAAAATCTAAAATCCAGCCTAAATCGTGGGCCGAATGGTTTACTGAACAGTCATAAACTGTCATTGTGATGGAAATGCAGCGGAGTGCAGTGATGACAGCGCGGTGCGGGCCACATTGCAAGGCCTGGCGGGACGGATTTGGCCCGCGGGCCTTGTGTTTGACACATGTGATTGTAAACAGATGGAAGAACATACCATGTTCATGAATTGGTAGAATCAACATAATCAAAATGTCCATACTTCCCAAAGCAATTTATAAGTTCAATGCACTCCCCATTAAAATACAAAGGGCATACTTCACAGACCTAGAAAGAACTCTCCAAAAATTCATCTGGAACAAAAAAAGACCCCGAATAGCCACAGCAATCCTGAGAAAGAAGAATAAAGTAGGAGGGATCTCAATACCAGATTTCAAGCTGTATTATAAAGCCACTGTTCTCAAAACAGCCTGGTACTGGCACAAGAACAGACATATAGATCAATGGAATAGAATGGGATAGAATAGAAAATCTAGATATCGATCCAAACCTCTATACTTAATTAATATTTGACAAAGGAGATAGGAACATACAATGGAGTCAAGACAGTCTCTTCAATAAATGGTGTTGGGAAAGTTGGACAGACACTTGCAAAAAAAAATGAAACCAGATTACCAAGTTACACCATACACAAAAAATAAACTCAAAATGGATACAGGACTTAAACATAAGATGGGAAAGCATAAAAATACTAGAAGCATCCACAGGTAGCAAAATCTCTGACATATGCCAAAAGAACTTCTCCACTGATACTGCCCCTAGAGCAATGGAAGCTAAAGAAAAAATAAACAAATGGAACAACATCAAAATAAAAACCTTTTTTACAGCAAAAGAAACCATCAACAAAACAATAAGAAAGTCCACTGTATGGGAGAACATATTTGCAAATGTTATCACTGATAAAGATTTAATCTCCAACATCTACAGACACAGACAGCTACACAACTAAATAAAAGGAAGATGAATGATCCAATTAATAAATGGGCAATGGACCTAAATAAAATCTTTTCAAAAGAAGACAGAAGGAAGGCTAAGAGGCACATGAATACATGCTCAAAGTCACTAATTATCCGAGAGATGCAAATCAAAACAACAATGCAGTACAATCTCATACCTCTCAGAATGGCTAACATGAACAACTCAACAAAGGACAAGTGTTGGTGAGGTTGCGGAAAAAAAGGAACCCTCGTGCACTGCTGGTGGGAATGCAGACTGGTGCGACCACTGTGGAGAACAGTATGGAGTTTCCTCAAAAAACTGAAAATGGAACTCCCATTCAACCCAGTAATCCCACTCCTAGGAGTATATCCTAAGAAACCAGAAACACCAATCAGAAAGGAAATATGCACCCCTATGTTCATGGCAGCACAATTTACAATAGCTAGGATTTGGAAACAGCCTAGAAGCCCATCAGCAGATGATTGGATCCAAAAACTATGGTACATCTACACAATGGAATTCTATGCTGCCATAAAAAAGAAGGAATTCTTATCATTTGCAGCAACCTGGATGGAATTGGAGAACATCATGCTGAGTGAAATAAGCCAGTCAATGAAAGAGAAACACCACATGATCTCACTCATTTATGGATAATAAGGAACATTATAAACTGAGGAACAAAATGTTATATACAGAGACAGTAAAGCAACAAATAGACTTTCAAATTACAGCGGGAAGGATAGGGAGATATGGGGGAGATAAGAGATCAACCGAAAGACTTGTATGCATGCATACAAGCAAAACCAATGTACAAAAAACTCTGGGGAGAGATGGCACGTATGGGAGTAGGGGGGGCAGTGGAAAGATATGTACACATATAGATACAATACTTTAATTAAAAAAAAGAAAAAAGAAAAGATAAACACAGCCTAATACCGGAAATATTGCTTATCTCTACTTTGGATGTACCTCCCAATATATTGAGGAACAGTAAGCAGATAAATATAGGAACTTATTAGATTTAATAAAATAGGTGGGTGTATCTTAAAATGTACCTACACTCTATTGGGGCCCTGAAGTTCCTTGTACATGTTGCTGTCTAGAAGCTGCATTGAAACTATTCTAGATCAAATAAGTTTTCAAACTTATCAGTTGTGTTGAAAAGTGCTTTTAAAACTAAACTAGGATATATTTTTTTCTTTTTTTTATTAAGATATTACATGTGTACATATCTTCCCATTGCACCTCCACCCAGTTTTGTTTTTTAATATTGAACTTTTTCAAAACATAGTCTAAAATTTTGTGCATTCATAGTATTGTACGTTATGTTGCTAAGGCAGTTTGATTCAAATTATATAAATATACATGAAATATTGTTTTGAAAGTTAAACAATTAGTACTGAGACAGAGAAATTATTGTATTTTAAATGGTATAATGTCACATAAGAATACATTTTCTTTTTAGGGGAGAACACCAATACAGTCCCCCACTACCACAAATTATGCAGTCAAGTTTTCCACATTTGGGGAAATCGAAGGGGTCAGCACTTCTGAAGTACAATGGATAAGCTTCACCCTGGGAAAACCAACTTCATGATCTTGGTGTCTCTACTGCCAGGTAAGTATAGGAATATATTTATTTATAGTTTTTCTTTTCATTTTATATTTACAATGATAGAGAAAAATGTGTGAATTTATAATAATTATTGGGGAGACTAAAAAAAACTTTATACTTTCATTTGATATAATTTGGAAGCAGTTTGGTCTCTTGTCAGAGACAGTTCAGTTTTTATTTTTTTAGAAATTTTAAATGTAAAAAAAAAGGCTTTAAAAGGGCTGTAATGACTGTAATGATGCAGTAGAAACTTTTGTACTCTAAATTAACAAGCATCTGCATTAATCTTGAAAGTAGGGGCAAAGAAAACATAGTTAGTTTAGCAATTAGCATATTGGTCCAGAATTACTAAAAAATGAACCTTATCATTGAAAGTATTACATAATTCCTCCTTACCCCCCATTGACCTCTTCCAGCCTCCTCTCAACCCCCAAGCCCTTACCACTCCATTGTCTGTATCCACAAGTTATGCATATATGCATAAAATTTCATTGATTAATCTCTTCCCACCCACCCTATCCTGCCTTCCCTGAGGTTCAAAAGTCTGTTCCATGCTTCTATGTCTATGTATCTATTTTTGTTCATCAGTTTATTTTGCTCATTAGATTCCACATATGAGTGAGATCATGTGATACTTATCTATCTCTGACTGGCTTATTTTGCTTAGCATAATACTCTTCAGGTCCATCTAATATTTTTTAAAATATTATATATACATCATCTTTTATAAAGAATATAATTTTTGATGCAAGTTAGTTTTTAAGACCAATATTTTAAGAAAGATGTCTATTATTTGCAAAAGCATTAATGTTAAAAATTATATCATCATTTACACTCTTTCTCTATGAGGACCTTGCATATGGTAAGCATTGCTCTTCGGCAATGAGAATACATGAACACATCCAACCAGCTGATAATAATTTATGTAAATTTTCATAAAATACCTTATTGGTAATAACCTGTTGAAGTTTATTTCAACAAGGAATTTAATGAAGGACAGTAATCAATAGTTTCCCACTCTCACCAAAACCGGTTTGGCTCAGTGGATAGAGCATCGGCCTGAGGACTGAAGGGTCCCAGGTTCGATTCCAGTCAGGGGCATGTACCTTGGTTGCAGGCACATCCCCAGCAGGGGATGTGCAGGAGGCAGCTGATCGATGTTTCTCTCTCATCAATGTTTCTGAGTCTCTGTCCCTCTCCCTTCCTCTCTGTAAAATAAATAAATAAATAAAATAAATATATTTTTTAAAAATGACAATGAGATACCATATCACACCTGTCAGAATGGCTACCATCAGTAAGTCAATAAGGGAAAAGTGCTGGCAAGGATAAGGAGAAAAAGGAATCCTTGTGCCTTGTTTGTGGGAATACAGACTGGTGCAGCTACTGTGAGAAACTCAAAAAATTAAAAATGGAACTCCCATCTGACCTAGAAATCCCACTTTTAAAAATATATTCCAAGAACTCAGAAACACCAATCAGAAAGAATATAAGCATATCTACATTCATAGCAGCACAATTTACAATAGCTAAGATCTGGAAACAGCCTAAGTGACCATCAGCAAATGAGTGGATTAAAAAATGGTGGCACATCTACACAATGGAATACTACTATGCTATAAAATAGAAAGAACTCTTAGCATTCACAACAGCATGGATGGACCTGGAGAACATTATGCTAAGTGAAATAAGCCAGTCAGAGAAAGATAAATGTCACATGATCTCACTCATTTGTATAATATAATGAATAACATAAACTGATGAACAAAAATAGATCCAGAGACATAGAAACATTAATCTGACAGTCAAATCTCAGATGGAAGGCAGGAAAGAGTGTGAGGGGTTAAGAGATAATCAAAGGACTTGTATACATGCATTTGAGCATAACCAATGGACACAAACAGTAGGGGGTGAGGGCATGTACTGGGGGTGGGAGTTTCCGGGGAGAAGCCAATGGGGGAAAAAGAAGTCATATGTAATACTTTAAACAATAAGTAATTTATATTAAAAAATTCAAACTTGGGAAAACACTGAAAAATAAATAACAGATAATGGATTAATATCTGTAATATCTGGATATCACAGACATGAAATTAGAATATATGAGACACTTCAGAAGAAAATTTTATTAATAAAAGGGCCATAAATATAAAAATATAAATATTGTCAATTAATTTTTGAAAAACATTTATCAGTTAAATCATCAAAATTCTAATTGATTAACAACATAGTTTTTCTCCTTTCAAACTAGCAAAAATAGTTATTATTGAGTTAGTTCTGGCAAGAATATTGTAAAATTGGCACTAATATACATAGAAATGGAGTGTAAAGCAACATAAATTATCTTGTGGGGAACATGGCAATATGTATGAACAGTCTTAAACAGTTTTACATCCCCTGACCTAGTTAATCCACAGATTGGAAATTATTCTGAAGAAATAATCAGTGATACAAGGAAAGATATATTTAAAAGGAGGCTTACTGTAACATCATTTTAATAGCAAACGTTTGGAATCAGTTTAAATATCAATATTAGGAATTATTTAAATAAACTACGATGCATCCAAATGATGGAATATTAAAAAGGATGTTTTAATATCATATGTCGGAGAGAGACAAAATGGAGGCGGGAACAGACAGATGTGTCCCGAACCTTGTCCCAGAGCAGATAGAGAGAACAGCTGAAACTAATAACATCCAACCTGAGTTGGGGAAGGAGTCTCAGCAGGTGAGAAAGTTTGCAGTGGGGAAAGGGCAGAGGATCCCTGGAAAAGGGTAAAGTTGGGGTGCTGGGCAGGCAAGTCTGCCAGACCCCTGAGGGAGCCTACATAACACCAAGCCGCATCCCTGGGGACAGGCACAGCATCTGATGGTGGAAAGAAGGGCCACAGGACTGCTGGACCACAGGGGATTCTAGATCTGTGTGGTACTAGCAGAGCATCAGCAAGAGAGGAGCCCACAGAGACCCAGTCTCTACCCTCTCTATGGTCTAAGCCTTTCTCCACTGAGCCTAGTTCACAGGACCCTTTGGATACAGACACTTACCTGCGGCTGAGGTGAGGGAGAAGGTGCAGACTCTTGGAGTCTGGGGAGAGTTGGGGGCCCAGGAGAAGTAGCAGCATGTCTGGCACTGAGTCATGCCTGAGCCTGGGACCTGGGTTGCCATTTTGTCCTGAAGAGATAGCCCCTCCCTCCAGTTTCCAGGCAACCAATACAGCCACACCCAGATTCCACAATGAATAGCAAAAAGGATTTGAGAAGAAAAAAAAAAATCCAAATAATCCCTGAGATTCCAAAGGACTGCCCAAAAGACAGTATAGAAGACTGAAATCTTATGCCAGCCAAAGGAACGACACTTTACTTTTTCATTTTATTATTATTTCTATTTCTTTCTTCTTTCTTATAAGCTTACCTGTTTTTAGTTTCTATTTTTTTGTTTTATTCTGCTTTATTTTATATTTCTTTCTGTATTATTGTTCCATCACTCTATTTTATTTTATTGTTATTTATATTTTTATACCAATTTTGAAATAAACTTTTTTGTAAATTTATTATCATTATTATTTTCTTCTCATTCTATTTCTTCTTATGCACCCACCCCCCCTCTGCTTCCTCTACACTGAACTGAGGACTTCCCCATGCATTCAATTCTTAACCTTATTTTCTGTATATAAGCTCAACCTCTACAGATTCTGCCCCCACCCTCTTTGCTGGGTGTTTGGTGTTTGCATTTTTTTTTTTGGTTTATCTATTGGTTCTGTGGTGTTTTCTGTTTTTCTTCTTTTTCTTCCTTTATCTTCTTTCCTTTTTCTTTCTTTTCCTTACCTCTCTTTGATATTATTTGTGCTCTCTTTTCTCCCCCTAATTCTCTTTTCTCAGGTGGTTACTTATAGTGGAGTCATTGGTGTTGTGAATATATTCATGCTTTGTTCCCTTTGTGTTGTGTCTTATTGAGGTGATTTTTATACAGTCTGGCCAGAAGCTAGAGAGTGAGCCACATTAACCAGACACCTAGAGAGGAAACTTTATCCACAAAAATGTTAATAACATCCCAGATGCAACTACAGAGGCAGGAAGAAGGCGGCAGTAAGGGAGAGAGTATGAGTGAGAGGCAGCAAAAGAGGAGTGTGTGGTAATGTGGTGTGTGTGTGTGTGTGTGTGTGTGTGTGTGTGTGTATGTGTATGTGAGTAAGGCACAGTTAGATCCCACAGAACCTTCGGGGGCAGGCTAACCAGGCTCGCCTAACAGGGCAGCCTCTGCTACCATTTTAAAGAGTACTGGGAGGCCGGCTTGTTCTCAGAGGCCTATCCTTTTTGAAGGGGAAAGCTGCTGGAACTGGGAGCCCAGCGTCACCTCCACCCAGGGTGCCCTGAGAGAACACCTGGGACTCTACAGCCACCTCTGCCAGGGTCCTGATACCTCAGCTGTGGTTCCACGGTCAATGATAAGGTGAGCACTTTTGGCGGGACAGTCCCGATTTCTAACAATTTGTCCCACATCCCATGGCGTTTTTAAAAAGTCCCATTTTTGAAAAGTATCAGCTACCCTGGGCACAGGCTTTCTGAGTTCTGAAGCAAGCTCCCCTCTAATTGGCCCAACACTTTAGCCCAGGGCACTGCAACCACAGGAGCAACAAACACATGAGTAGCCCACTCCCATCCAAAGAGCAGCAGCCTGTGAGCAGCCCGCCCTGGCCTAAGAGCAGCAGCCTCACATGGCCTTCCCCTGTCCAAGGAGCAGCACAAATGCCAACAGCCCACCCCATCTGAGGAGCAACAGCCACAAGAGCTTCCTGCCCCACATGTGAGTAGCGACAGCCCTGCCCAGCCTGCCCCCAGCTGCTGCATGCAACCCGTACCCTGCACCTGTTCAAGGAGCAGCAGCCACACAAGCAGCCTGCCCCTATCCGAGGAGCAGCAGCAGTGTCAGAAGCCGGCACCCATTTGAGGAGCAGCAGCTGCCTGAGCAGCCTGTCCACATCCAAGGAGCAGCAGCCCTTCACAGCCCGCA